CATAACTAAATTCAAGGGCAGATAGAGCTACGTTAGCGTGCGCTTTGCTCCGCCCATTATTTTGTATACAAATATGATTGCCACTTCTCCCGTTCTACAGAATATTTTTAATATAAACCTAAATATAAATATACGAGGCTCTTTATTATCGCAAAAAAAATTTCTAAAACTTAATCATTTAACTCTAAATGCTTTATAAATTATCATTTATAATATATGCCATGAGCATACTCATCAGATCAATATTGAAATTCGAGTCTGAATCATTAATTTACAGCAAGTGTCTAGCCCAACGATTCTCCACCGGTGGTAAGCGTACCACTGATGGTACGCAAGAGAAAAGTAAGTGATACACAAAGAAAAAATTGTTTTTAACTATTAAATTCAAAAATTAAATACATCAACATACTGTTTAAACTTTTTCTGATGTAAATTCACTCGTAAATTTATGCGATCTGAACTTTGATCAAGGTTAATAGCCACTCATAGACTTATAAATAAATAATAATAATAAATAAAATAATCCGTTCAAATATCCATTCTTATTTTCATAAATATTTTTCTAGCCATGACAATAAAATTTATCATAAATGATGTTTTCAAAAGGTTTAATAGAAACGGATGTTGTATTTAACAGGAATAAAAATAAATTCCTATAGAATGATAATTAGTATCTCATTAATTCTTTTAGAGCGGATCGATTCACTAGCATATCTACACTTTATATCATCACCATTTCTGGGCTCATATTGCTCTATTTTCAATTAAAATAATTTTTTAAGTCGATTTGCTGTCTCTAACAGTAGGTATTTTGTCTTCTTCTTGCCTTGTATTCCTTACCTTTCTACACGATCTGAGACTATCGTCGTTTGTTTTTGGAGAACTCATAATATATTGTACATTCAAATATTTGAGGAAAAATAATAAAACAAACCTAGATTTTTCAAAACGGAAGAATGACTAGGATAGACTAAGCGGAAAAGCAATGTTTCACGGGTGATGGATCCAGGACAATCTACTAGCACTAAGAAAAGAAAAATTGTATATAAAAATATAATGAAAGTTATTTTATCATTTGAGTTTTCTTGGAACGGATATGAAATGGACCCTCAAGTAAGTCGACGAATTTATGAAAGGGCAAATTCGACAAAAGAGACCATTATTCAAAAAATAAAACACGCATTGCAATTGGATGAAAGTACTGATGTAATGAACTTTGTTCAATTATTAGTTTACATACATTTCGAAGAAGGTAAACGAACTGTCAAAGAGTATTTAACTTGTGAATCTTTTCATGATGAGGCAACTACAAACGAAATTTTCGAAGTAATTGACAATTTCATGTCTGAGAATGTTATTCCTTGTAATAAGTGCATTGCCGTATACAGCGATGAGCTCGGGTTTTAATAGAAAAACATTCCGGTGTCATTTCTCAAATAAAGGCAGTCGCACCTAAAACTAAATTTACTCACTGCTCCATTCATCGTAAAGCATTAGTAGCCAAATCAAACCCGGAAAAAACCTGAAAATCGTTTTGAATCAAGCTGTGAAAATGGTTAATTTTATTAAAAGCCGAGCTTTGAATTCAAGAATATTTACGATTTTATGCCAAGAGATGGGCAGTGAAACGCTTTTGTTTGATTCCGAAGCAAGGTGGTTATCCAGAGGCAAAGTTTTGAATCGTCTTTTTGAACTTCGATCAGAAATTCAAATTTTCCTCTGTAATTTAAAATTTGAATTGCAATATTGTTTATTTAGTGAATTATGGTTGGCACATTTAGCATATTTCGCTGATATTTTTGGAAAGTTAACTGAAATTTAGGACAAAGTGTTAATTTGTTTACCATTAAAGATAAAATAAATGCAGTAATAAAAAATCTGCTGTGCTGCTGATAAAATAAATACAATGATAAAAAATTCACATGGCTTCCATGTACAGAGCATTAAATTATACGCATTTTTTCCTGCATTTCATTTAAACATATTTCCTCGAATTTCATTAGAGATACATTTCTCATTCAATGAATTCAGTTCTCACTTCGCGGCAAGGCAAAAATACATAAAAACTCAAAATATTTTCATTATAAAATTGAAAGATATAGAAAAATATAAAACACCAAATACAGTTAAAACAATTTTTACAATTAATATGACAGTTTCTTTTGAAAAAACAAGCAGTTTGGTTAGCAGACAAGAAGCCAGTTTTTTCGAAGCACAAAACTAAAAGTTTCTTTTTGGTCCCACTCGGCAAAAAGACACTGAAGGTGCAGAAAAACTTAATTCACTATTTTGCTAAGTTTCAAATCTAAAACAATATGGTTGCTATGGTTAAAAAATTAGGCTTAGCAGCACTTAAACAACTTTTAAATTGTTGATAATTAATTCTACTACTATGGCATGCAGATTAACTAAAGGCATAAAAACTTTAAGCGGAAGATAAGTACAGCATAATTCAATCATTTTTAAGGCTAAAAGTGCGCAATTTACCAACATATAAGAATAAAAAACTGATGTTACTGAGCCATGTAAGAGAGTGTATATATACATATATACTTTTGGTGCAGCCGATTGCAACCAAAAAGGGAGGTATACAACTACATGTTATAGCAGTCCTATATACAAAATTTCAACGTCCTAAGGCTACTCGTTTTTGAGTTCTGCAAGATACATACATACGTACGTACAGACCCCACGAAACAGTCTTTTCTGAATCCATTTTAAATCAGTTTTATAATTCGTTTGGGGAAAAGAATCCTTTGTTCTGTCCTTACGTACAGATGTCACCCAAAAACATAGTTAAATGCATTCAATAGCGGTCAAACTGGATATTTTCGTTGAAATATGATACCCGAAAATTTTTGTGATTACAATACTTTTTTTACTTCGTACAAGGAAATCAAAAGCTCGAGCTAATAATTAAAAAATTGGATAACAATATTTTAAGCTTTTTACCACTTTTAGAAAGTTTTCTACCCGAAAATATTTTGAAAATTAAAGAAGAATTAGCATACGACATTAAAAATCATTGTTTTTAATTGATAAGTAATTTCAAAATGTATTTTCTCGAGGATTATGAAAAAAGAAAATTGGGTTAGAAATCCATTTTGTTTGTACCTGAAATTTTATCTCCTGAAGAAAAAGATTGATTGATAGAAATTTTCCAACCGAAAAATTTAAAAATAATACACTTGCTAACTTTTGGCTGAATCGAAAAAAAGAATTTACAGGCATTTCAAATAAAACTCTTAAATTGTTATTGCTTTTTTGCGAAACCTATTTGTGTGAACAAGGATTTTTTTTCCATGTTAACATTTGAAAAATAAATATACGACAAAATTAAAAGTGGATCCTAATTTAAGGTTAAAACTAAGTGAAATAAGACCAGACATAAAGAAATTGGTCTCTCTTAAACAGGCTAAATTTCGCACAAAATTTTAGAATTAAAATATTATACTTAAATTTTGAAAACTAAAATGATAACCTATTTTTAATCTATTTTTATTTGTGTATATTTAACACAAATAACCAAAAGGTTGTGCAAAAGACAAAGTATATATATATTTTTTAAATATTTCTATTGAGAAATTGTAAAATGTGATGGTGGTACTAAGGTTTTTTCAATTTTTGTTTAGATGATACGTGCTAATGAAGAGGTTGAGAACCGCTGGTCTAGCCAATAAAGCTATAACTTATACATTTTTAAATCTTCCCCGTAGAATTATATAAAAAACGTAAATCTCGATTTCATGCCCTTATGGTAAACCTTATCTCACATCTTCTAGTTCAGAAAAATCATTAACTTAAAAACTACTAACAAGCTCACCAGACATGGGAAATTTTCCAAATATTGTATGAACATTTTTGCTGAATTGTGGTCCTAATTGACTAAAGTTCGTATTTCCTGATATCAGACAGACATTCATGTTTTTAATACTTAATGAAATAGAAGTTCAGTAAACTCTTTCCTAGCGACCACCATTTTAAGACGACCACCAGTCTCAGAGTGACTAGTACTTCTGAGATCATAAATAAACATCTGTTCTGAACATTATTTCTGTAAAACGACCATCTTCACAGAAGACCAAAATCATCTGGCAAATGTGAACTGCCCTCTTAGAGTGTTCATTGTATATATTTTTTTAAATTTTAAACATTATTTGTTAATTAGTGTTTTCTCAGTAGAATTTTTTAATTATTAAATGAGCATTTCAGATTGATTTTCGGGTTTTAATTTTAAAATCTTACTTTTCTTAATGTTAGCATAAAATTTTAATAATCTGCGTTTGAATGTTAAAAGTAATTTTTAGTCAACAGCTAAGTATGACAAGATAGAAATAAATACGTCCTCCGTACGGGTTGACATCTGTTTTGATAGTCACTGATATTATTTTTTGCACATTTTATGATTAGCATCTACAGTGGCAATCATTCTGAATATTTCTCTTTATGCTAAATTCATCTTGAAATTTAGAAGATAATTCTTATGCAGAGAAACTTCCCCGAGAGGATCCCTCAGGGAGACGAATTTTATCTTCTGTTGAGAACATGGCTATCGATGCTATCACATAATTGTGTTCTCTGAAGTATTGGTTTATTTCAGATGTGGTCATCTTAGAGATGCGGCCGTCTTGGAAAATTTCACACTTACTGCAAGTAATGACATTATTTTAACCTAAAAATTACCCAGGTTTGTCGTGTATTCAAAATAATCACAAGCAAATATGTATATATATTTTTAATTTTTCCTTTTACAATTGAAATTTTGTTCTTCATGATGATTTAATTCCAGTCCCCGTTAAAACATTATTAACATTTTACTTTCAAGTTACTTCAAAACATCTTTCAAAATATAACTTACCAGTATGGATTCACTCTTTTAAAATAATTCTACTTTAATTAACTTAGGAGATAATATAATCAATTAATCAATATTGTTTAGGAAATAAATTATATATATATACTAAACTGGATTTCGCTTGAAATGAAACGTCTCCACTTACCTATTTTCAATACAGTCTTGTATCCCAAACCATCTTTTCTTATTTTCCATGAATTTGATGTTTTGCGAAGTCGAAAAACACGGTGATAATCTAATGAACGTCCTTCAACTGAAGAAGCATCTCTGTAACAAAAGGTTGAGCACCAATAAAATTTTCAGTCATTCGTGGAATTAACTAGACTTTAGACATCGTCATTGGCTACCTGAAGTCTCGTGATTTCCTTTTTTCCTTTGTTATACACATCAATGATTATGCATGCATCAACTGTTTACTCCTCAGTGTGGTGACTTTAAAGATCTTTCTTTTTATTAGTATCCGACCATTAAGTTTTCGCTAAGGCGAGTAGAAGACTTAATTGTCTTCCGCTTTGGGGCTCAACAATGGGAACAAATAAGCCCAGCAAGCTTTTCTCGCCGTTCTGCTTCACTTAGATTTGTGAGACAAGATAAATTGAATAGCTTAACTATGATAATTTTCCACCAAAAATTTTAAAAGAATGGTAACAGTGTAATTAAAGAAAGAAAGTAAGTTTTTAGACCTGGTCTTTTAGATTGAGGGTATTCAACTTAAGGTTTTTCACCTCTGCGATTTTGAGAAAGATTACGTATTCTGTTGAAATGATTTCTCCGAAAATGATCACCTTAAGGCTAGCTAAAGCCCCGACGGATAGGTGAAAATACTTCAAACAAGGGGAAAAAAACTGTACACAAAAAAGTGTAATATGTTTCATGTTCAACCTAAACAAATATGAATACCCCAGTACATTCTACTAGCGGACATAAAATTTGTATTTTTTAACAAATGTCATGCAACCATTAATTACTACTTCAATCATTCTTTAGAAGTGACGTCAGACAACTTATAGACTTAACGAAAACTATTTCAGACACGTCTCATACAATGATTTACTTTGGTAAAGGGGGTATACTGAAATGATTAGGATCTTAGTAAAAAACCGAATTTTTAATTAAATAGAAGCGTATGATTTATTTAAAGTATTTTTCGTACTCCAATGCACTATTTTGCGATGTTATACGTTTTTCTTACTCTCAGTAATTTTTAAGAGACAATGATATTTGTTCTAGCTTATAGTACGACTTAAAGGTACTTATTTTACAGCAGATACTTGCGAGAAAAGTTAAATAACTACCACATTATCTTGAATATAAGATAATGTTGAATATAAGGCAGTCTCCCCCTTTCAGAAAACCTTTTGAAAAACATCACTCTTAGTCTAATGTTTAAAAAGCACATTATAATATATCTTTGCTTATCCCTTAAGTTTTATGTCGAAAGTAAGTCTATTCATTTAGATTTACTTCAATAGCAACTAACCTTTTATTTACCATTCCTACAACGCCTTCAGTACATCGAGTATATATGCATTGAAAAGAGAGGTTATTTTTCTCGTTATCCTATGAAACTGATAATTTTTTTTTCGGAGGGGCGTAATTAAGAACCTTAAGGATGCTTTTAAGGATACCATCTTCCCCTTTGTTAAAACCTTAAAAATGCTGAGACAATTTATATATAAGAATGTCTTGAGTTTCAGGCCGAAATGATCAGTAATAGTTATGTCTCTAATTGCTCCGATATTTTACAGTATAAAAAATATACGAAGACGGGAGAATTCCTCTTTCACTCATTCTCTAAGAAGAGATATTTAAAACTGTAGGGTAATTCCCGGAATGAATATAAACAGAAAAAACTATGCAAATAACAGATTCTAATTGCCAAAAGCTTTTAAAGAATTTCGTGCAAACTTTTGCAGTATTTGTTTAAAAATTCAGGAGATGCATATACTTAAGGTGAAATTAATATAATACATGTAAATTGGGTCCCTAAAGAAGCCTGAAACGGCTAAATAGAATCAATAAAATTAGACCGGAAAGCTAAAGCGATTATACATAATATATAACTACTTCAGTTTTTTTAGCATTTATAATAAATATTTGATTTAATTATTATCTCTTGATGTAATACCCTGAATACGAAGAGGTGTGGGGAGTACGGATATCCAAATGTGAAAGGCAAATACACCTGCACTCACAAATTAAAAATACAAATCTGTTTTTTCGAATTTCTCAAAAAATACTAGACAGAATTAAATACAATTTGTATGGATACAGAGTAATATAAGACAGCAATATGTGATATGTAACAGAGAAACTATATGTCTATGGTCGTACGTAATACTGATAAGAGCAGAAATGCTCAAATATGACGAACTGAAACTTTCATGGAAACTGAAGACGGCACCCGAGATGAGGCTAATGGGGATATGGTCACCTCTAACAGCCCTCTTTATAAAACAGCCAGTGGTCATATTTTTAAACAGATAGCTGATGAATCCTTGTGTCAGGTGCACCTTCTCGTGAAGCAGTTCTTAGCTCCTGAATGTCTCTTGGAACTGATTAACGAATTTGCTTAGTCGGGTTCATGTTTGCTGACCAATCCGCCCGTCGAATGTCCTCATTTTGAAGTCATTCATCCACCATTTATGGACGAGTTAAACGCATGGAGCTATAATAGAATGATGCTTGGTGGGACAATGCTTTCATGCTACATGCGCCTTTCCCTTCTCCGATGTTCTATGTATATGGAAGTTCCTCTAAGGTCAGTTTTCAAGCTAAATCTAGACTTGTTACTGATGAGAACTTGGGCCTGCTGAAGTAAGGTCAAGGCGGATGTCCCAGTATGTCATATGTCCGCATTAATTTGAGGGAGTGAGCGGGACAAAAAAAAAGGGAGAGGCGAGGGGACTAATATGGTTAAAAAAATCCTTTGTCTCGAAAAGTCTTTGGAAAACGGTAACCTTTGAAACTAAAGTTCCACTGGGAGCAGAGATTTCCCCAAGCGATAGGTGTAACTGTAACTATTCTTTGGCAACTTGCTGAAAGTGCCAGATAATGAAGCCGATGCCGATGGTTGTTAGATATTTTTGCCCAAGCTTTCGATGGATCCAAACTCCTGAAACTATTTTCACAAACTTCAGATGACACTAGATGTTACATGGAATCACTTGCACTTGAATTCAGGTCTCCTTATGTCCCTAAGTGTACTAAATGACCTCTTCAACACCAAATAGAAAAATACTATAGTTTCTGTGCCTTGTAAAATGCTTATTAAAAAGTTTTAAGAATGCAGCTATTTCTCTTTCGTGATAGTAGATGTGAAAGTTTCAGAAGTGTGGTTTTGTGAATCTTGCATTTTGATGTTTTGAGCCTGCAGTTTAATTTTCATCCCAGTAAGTGGAGTCATAGCGAGTGGAGCACGTAGTATGTTTTGTCGAGGTGAGGGAAGAATACATCTCTATAACCAACGGGACAGATGTGATTGAATTTTATGTTAAACCTGGGAATAGCCTTAACGAAACACTTGAAAGGACAGAACATGCATAGAGGAATAAAACATTTATCCGTGCTTCAGTATTTCAATGATGGATGCATTTCGTGTGATGAAATGTGAATGATCGACAAAGCACGTTCTAGCTGCTTGCAGATATCCTCGAAGCACATTTATGGGCAGGTAGCGAACTGTGACTATATAAATGGCTTGAAAAACATTTTCCTAGAGCCATGATGCGGAAAAGATCGGATTTTTTTAAGAAACACTAGTTTCGTTTCAGGATAATGCTTGGTTACATACTGCTATACTCTGGCATTGGAAGCATTATGATAAATCGATCTGTTACCACTACAAAAACCCTATATAGTCTAGACGTACTGGAATTCCATTTCTGGCGTTCTCGACATTAAAAAGGCAATTATAAGGGAAGGGCCTCTCTTCAAATGATGAAGTGAACAAGGCCACGTTCGCAATGCGAAAAAGAATGTATGAAAGCAGCCCATTTCATGTTTTTGAATCGTTTATAAAACACTGTGAAAAGTGTAATTCAATGTGAAATACTCAGATTTAAAAATGAAAAACATACAGGAGCCGTAGAATCATCTGATTCTGAATGGGAGAATCAGTTTTAAAACTTTTCAATATAATGTCGCATCAAATGTCTTGTGATTCAAGAAAGTGAAAGGCATTTTTTCTGTGTAATGTACACATCTTTTTTATGAATTTTCATTTACCTTTACGATTTATTGTTCGATATTATATTTTTGGCTTTTGACAGCATATTGGAACCATATATAATTATATATAATATTGCTAATAAGCATATTGGCAGATTTAGCAATTAGTATAGACAACAGTTAACTAAGATGGTAGTCGATAGCTCATGTTACCTTATTCAGAAGAAATAGTTTTATGTAAAAATAAGCTCACTCATTGAGGACTGTATCACATTTTTATTTAGCATTACTCTTAATCTGAATTCCACAGAAACCCAAAAGCAACGGACTTGGACCAGCACGCGCACGGGCCTTTTTGTTTTACATACATAGATGGCGCATTACTCCTTAACAGATGGAAAAATGAACCTTAAACATTATTATATTTTCTCATAGACTTTGAAAATATCGTAAATAATGAATGTAAAATGTAAATGCTTAAGACGACCACTTATATAGCTTCAGGTGAATATTGTTTTCTGTGGAGGTTATTGCCTTAGAAAAAATGACAGTGGATGATGCTCGTTATCTTCATTTAATTATGTTATCAGAAATACTATAAACATAACTAAATATGTGGTCATGTGCTTCTTGCTCTCAGGAGAGATCCTCTGAGGAAGTTTATCTGCATGGGAGGTTTGCAAAGTAAAAATTATTTAAAGTCTCCTTTTTGTTATTTAGTTCTTCAAAGATAAATAATCATATTAATGGTATTAAATATTTTAAGATGAAAACTGTTGCTTATATTGATGTAGGTTCATCACGGAGGTTTCGGAAGGATGTGCCACGAAGAAAGTTTAGAAAATATTCTATTTGGAGCACAAGTATAAGATGGGAGGATTTCCTTTTTATGTAGCATGACAAAAAAATTTTTTATGTGTGCATAAACATTTAATTTCCTCGAATGCAAATAATTTTGGGTCTAACTTTACAGTTAGTATATACATAGTATTGTATACATTCGTGAAGCTAGATTGGGTTTAAATGTAATTGCAAAGAATGTTTCAAGTACTAAAGGTGTGTAAGCAATTTTAATCTTTTACCCATTTTAACTTCTTATCCATTTTAAACATTTTCACGTGTAGCAGCAGTTGATCAGGTAGTATAATCTAAGGAAATAAATCTTGGTTTTGAATGCAGTTTTTGAAATATACTCGTACATGCAATATGAGTATATGCAGTTTTTGTTTTGTTT